CATATAAAGTCCCTCACAGAACTGGGAAGGGACAAGTCCCCAAGAACTCAGGGGAAGTGGGGGGGGGCAGCGAATGGAAAGAGAAGTAGGAAAAAACGAGGGGGAGGAAAGGAAAACATGTCCGACCAGGAAGATTGAGCCTGGTTAGGAATAGAAGACAGGAAAGAGAGAGAGAGACAGAGACAGAGCGAGAGAACATAAAAGAGGGAGCCAATATTGGTTTGAAAAGAAAATTGAACCCAAAGAAAGGTCAGAGAACTATATGACTGCCGCCAACTAACAATTTGAGCTTCCGTGGAAAGGCTACCATAAATGCCCTTCCCGGATAGTGAGATCAACAACTAACTTATCCATGGAGCCCTCATCTAATACCTGTTGGAAACAGAAGCAAACACCCGTACCTAAACACTGAGTTGAACTAGAACCCAGATGCAGATGGAGAGGACAAGACCAGGCTGCAGAAACACATACAGACAACTTACCTGAACAAGGAGGAGCTAACGGCTACTACACTGATAGCTGGGAAGCCAGCATGGGACTGACTCAGGCCCCCCTGAATATGGGTCTCAGCCAGAAGGACTGAGCAGTCTAAGGGACCTCAGACAGTGGGGCCAGGATGTATCCCTGGTGCACAAAAGGACTTTGCGAACACATCCCCCATGGAGGGATAACTGCCTTAATCTAGAGACAGGAGAGAAGCCCTAATCCCTACTTCACATGACCTGTCAGATCTACATGACCCCAACTGGATGGCATTCCCCTACATATGGAATTGGGGTGGGGGGATGGGAGGAGAGGGTGGTTAGGGTGCATGTGAGAGGGCAGAGAGGGTAAAAGGGAGGGAAGGAGGGAGGGAGGGAAGGAGAGAGGGAGAGAGAGGGAACTGGGATCGACATGTAAAATAATAAATTAAATTAAAAAAATGCTTTGACTACAAAATTTAAGTTGAAGGACAAGTTATTGGGGAAAAGGATTTCTATTTTTTTTCCACAGAAAATGAAAAGATGTGGATTCCTTCCAGACTAATGTGGTTTGATCAAGCCAGACCACCTGAAACAGAGTACCAGGTGATCCTACATTCAAAACAGCTGAACAAAGCAGCCTTACAGACTCCAGCCAGGATTTCTGAATCTTCTTCAAATCCCCTATGACAGCGCCCCTTACCAGCAGGAAGTAGTTTGGAAAGAACAACGCCCAAATTCCCAAATATTGTCTATAAATGTTTGTTTTCATTTAATTGGACTTGGTTATATAAAATAAATTTTAAAAAAATTAAAAAAAATAATAAAAAAGAAAAGTGGGTTTGATAAAAACACTAAATATATGTATATATGAAAACTTCAAAGAATGAAAAATAATACAATCATGGTTTCCACAATGGAGGAGGAGAAGAATAAAGGGGAAGAGCAATAAGGAGGAGGGAGGGAAGGAAGAAAAAGAGGACAAAGAGGTGTCAGCTACTGTCCCAAATATCAGTATCATTAAGTATCCAGCTGAAGTTAAGCAAGGGTGAAGCCACAGAGCATGGTGACTGTAAGCAGCTTGGTATAAAAATCAGAGAATCCTCTGTGTACCAAGTCCCCAGCATTGTGAACCAAACATACTAGAGCCTAAACATCCAAAATCTGAGAGGCCCCAGACACTAAGGCAAGTCATTAGGCATACTGAAAGAGAAGAGATATAAAAACATTAACAGTTTTGCAGGAATCTGGGATTTGTTCAATTACAATTACTCCCTCACATGCATCCTGACCATCCTCTCCTCCCATCTCATTTTTAACTGCACCCTACCTCTTGAATATTGCTCTACTGCTTAGATACCGTTTTCATGAGGTGGCAGATGCTGTCACTAATAGTGATAACCATGGAATCTTCACCTTCATCCTTAATTTAGGCTCCAATCTAACAGCTCAGTTATAAAAGATGTCTGTTGAATACTAATTCTGATGGACCCTGCTCTCTGCTGAGGCAGCATCAATGCCTTGAAAGATGACCACATGAGTATGTTCTAACATTAGTATCAACTAACAGACCTCCAAACACAGTTCTCCAAGTCTGAGTATCCCATGCAGTATGTCTCACATAGGTACTTGCTTTGGTCACCAGGAAACTATTATGTAGTTTTGTTGAGGTGAAAATGCAGTTATGTAAGGAGGTTACAAAACAAAACTGGTTTCTCTTGTGAGTGAAAGTTCTCTGGATGTTCCATGGCTCTTCGTCTCAGGCCTAGGACAGAAGCAGCAGTCAAGTGGTGAGGTCTTGTGACAGAAGTCAAAAACAAAACAACCTCCTGACTTGTCTGCTGGGTGTGTCCCATCAGCACCCAACATATAGCCTAGCCTCAAGCTAACAGGAGAAGGAAGAGATAAAGTATGAATGATTTTGAGCCACCTAAAACACGAAGGAAGATATCATCTGTATATTTCACTTAAAAAAAAACATTACTAAGAGTAAGTGAATGTAATAAATTGCCTAGAGTTTCCCATTAAAAGGCAGAGGATTATATTCTGAAGGTCATATCAGTCTTCCCCAACCTTCTGCTATTCTCCATACTCCTTGGGCCATGTCACCAACATTGTCACTTCTTTCATTGATTGCAATTCTAAGTGTATCCCCTAAAACTTCACTCACACTGTTTTCTTTGAGGCTAAGTTCAAGGGTCATTTCCTTACCCTGAAGAGACTGCATTGACTGTCCATATACAGTTGATATCTATACATGTCTCAAGAAAAGGGGGATGGCATATGTAAATGATACAAGGCTGCCATTTAGCCTCTAAATGCATGTATACATGTTCCCACACATATACAATTATACATACAAATGAACACACACAAAACGATATGTATATAGAGATAAAATAAAAAGTTTGAGAGTCAAGAACATAATATGAATTTTTTTTTCTATAAGAGCAGAAACCTGAGTGACTACTGTCTTTTGTACTTATTTGCAACTTTTCTATACACCTAAATTTGTTTCAAAATTACTTTTTAAATGACCTTAAATATCAATAAAAGGTACAGCAAATTTTAAAAAGGAAAGTCCGATATAAAAACTAGAAAGAAAAGGAAGGAAGCAAAGTTGGATTTAATATACAGCATTAAAAGGCATCAAAAGAAACATGTTTGACAGAAACACTAATAAAATGTTGACACTTTTCCCTTTGTGAAGGACAAAATAGGTTCAAGTATGAAATAAAGTTTTCCACTACAATAGCATTATCAAGTTCAGACATAAGCAGAAATATGCCTGTTACACGTTAAAATAAACAATAATGGCTATTCAAATGTATCATAAACAAAAAGTAATTACCAAAATTCCTGGCATTTAATCTGAAAAATAAAAGAAAATCTCCAGCCTGGGAATTAAGGACTTGTAAAGTTTCCTATCTAAAATGTCTAACACCAATAGAAATAGGCATTTGACTAACTAAAAGGCTTGTACTTTGAATAGTTCATTATCAAAATCAAATGAGGAAAGAAGTTAGACACACTGTAATCAGACTGATGAACAATTGGGTCCAGTTTAGCTCTGGTTCACAATAAAAGGAGCAGCAACAATGTAATTTGAAACATTAGTTTTCACTGTCTATCCTCCACAGAAAGGGTCATAAGATACTATGTGCTAAGCATCTTGGTGAGAGAATACAAAAATAATGAGGCACACTCTGTGGCCTGGCAGAAGTTCAATGCAGGATGTTAGCAATGTGCAGAGTTGATACATCATATAAAACGATTTCAACAACCTAAAGTTGTTAAGTACATGAACTCTGGCTCCAAGTACACACAGGCAAGTCTGTGCCTTCCATACACAGTCTGCCAAATGGGTATCATAAAAGCCAAGCTTCAAAGATCATCTTGACATATACATTTGCAAAATGCCTGGAAAATAATATTTACTTGTTAAATACCAACCAGAACAAAGACACCATGCAGTCATTTGCTGCTTATCAAAGTCAATTGCAAATATATAGTGATAAATTTACAAATATGTAAATATTCAATGAAGTCATATTTTTTATTCATTTAAAAATATATTCCTTAAAATTTTTGCAAATGACTTTCATTTATTTGTTTATTTATTTATTTATCCTTCACCGTATGGGTTGTGGGAATTACACTCAGATCATTGGGCTTGGGGCAAGGGCCTCTGTTCCCTGAGCCATCGCACCAGCCTTATTTGCTAATGTTTGGAATCTCATTTATCTATAAAATGGCTTTGTAGGAAGTACTAAGTAGAGTGTGGAGGGAAGCCTGTCTGCATTTTCCTAGCTAACATCCCTGTGAGCTTGTTGACAGCCTGTCAGAGGAGACATCCATTGAAAATGGGGGAGATTAAAAAATAAGGCAAGTGCCTGCTGGCAAAGTCCTCATTAGAAAGTTCAGATATCCATCACCATGTAAGTCTCCTAAATGTGCACAGTGAAACTTATTAAAATTGAAATAAGCTAGTGCAATTTAAGTTCAATAAATTTGTCACTTATGGAAAATTAAGAAATTTCTTGGAAAAGTCTCCTTTCCAAAGTTAAATTCAGATTTGCCCTTGTGCACTGGGGTAAGCACAGGAAACTCATTTAAAAGGCGGGGTTTACTTTGGATATGGTTTTTCTGCTTCAGTGCGAAGGTTAGTGGGCACCTTTGTTTCTGGGCCATGATCAGGTAGAATTTCACAGCAGAGAGGAGCAAAAGTGATCACTGAATTGTGTGAAGCAAGGGATGAAGGAAGGGGTGAAGGAAGGGAAAGGAGAAGGGAGGGAGGAGAAAAAGAGGTGACCTTCCTGGAGTTGGACTCCACCTCCTAAAGGTTCCAGAATTTCCCAAACTAGCACCACCATAGACCTTCAGTGCATGAGACTTCTTGGGGACAATTCAAACAGAAATGGCTCATTTATGATATGAAATGACTATTTGTCATGAGTAATTTCTAAACTGCATGTAAAAATATATCTTACAGAATGTCAAATAACTCAAATCTTGGCATAATATAAAGTTTATATTTACCTCAACAATAAGTTGGTACTGCTTTCTGCCCAAGTAACTTCTCCACCACTTTTGCATAATTGTCACTACCCTGTTCAAGTGCCTATGATGAAAATATGTGTATTAGTATATGTCCACTGAAACCAAGATGTTTCCTCATTCTTTAAGATTATTGTCAAATTCAAATTTAAGGTTCTATGCATCTTCATTTTATTTATGTTTTATTATTCCTATTTTACCTTGCTTATTTCTCTCTTTGACACAATGTCTTGATGCCTGGTCTGTGACTTATTATGTGGACCTGGCTTGTCTTGAACATGTGGAGACTCTACCATCGTTGCCTCCCAAGGACTCTGTTACAGAGATACCTACCATGCCTGTCTATATGTAAACTTTTTTTTCCTTGGTAATAAATGCCTTGTTCTTTCAATTTAAGATGAGTTCTCAGCCAGAAAAGGCTGCTGTCTGCCAGAATTGGCAGACAGAGCCTGACATTTCACCTTTGAACAAACTGAGGCTCATGGTTGCTCAGATTTCCTAATGGCCAACCTTAACATGGCAGGACTGTGAGCTCTGTCCTTCCATGTCTGGGTTGAGGACAAATAGGCCCTTGGGTCCTGTGAGCATGAGCATGGACTTACCATTTTTCTGCTGTGTGTGTGTGTGTGTGTGTGTGTGTGTGTGTGTGTGTGCGTGCGTGTGTATTGACTCTAGTGTTTCCACATGCCAGACAAGTGTTCTACCACAGACACACATTCATAACATTGAGTCAAGTGTACATTGAAATACTTAGGCTTCCCTTGAACTCACCCCATAAACCAGGTTGGAATTGAACTTGCAGTCCTCCTGGCTTAGCCTCCCAAATATTTAGGGACAGTCCTGTGCTACTAGGCACAGATAAAATACTTCAAAATTGTGTACTATGCACAGTTCAGTTGATATGTTGAGAAATGTCAGAGGAATTATTGATGAAAACAATGTTAAGAGTTTCGAGAAAATAGTTCTTATGTTAACAAACATGCTCCTGTGTTGTCTCATACTCTTCAGTGTTTCTGAGGCATCATGTGAGTAGGAATTTAAAGAATGGTCTTCAGGGCCATGTTTCTAGATTGCACTGAGTGGAAAGCAGAGGCCTCACTTTAAAAATTGGAATTTACAACTCTGGGTAAAATAAGGAAGTGTTGTGAATTATATGCCTCAACTAGCTTTGGTTATTATAGATAAGGCATATTCTTTCTGTAACTTACCAGGAAAATATTTGTTCACATGTGAGATATGACACGGGGAATTGAATTTAGGACCTTATGCATACCAGGCAAGTGCTATACTGCTGGGCAGGCTGTACTGTCTACCCTTCCTCAGAATCAAAGAGAATATTTAAAAAAAAATTCTCTGTGAACTGAAGAACAGCATGGGAGGGATTGATGAGATAGATCCATCATTTACAATTAGAATATCACCATTTTAACAATATTGCTTTCATCAACCAACAGTTGAGAAATACCAAGATTCCTCTTCCCCAGGCCCTTTTGTGCCCCATCAGTTGATTTGTTACTATAAATGTACTTCATGGGGAGGGGGATATCTGATCAAATGTGCTTACAATATTGAGAGTTGTTAAAGGTGTACATATGGCAGATATAATTCACACACGTAAGAATTACTCAGAAGTGTTCTGTATCCCTTTAATCACTTCACTACTGGGTGAAATAAGAGGGTATCTGGGATAAATGCTACACAAACAAGGCCTGCATTTTGGTTTGTACTGCATTTTGGTTTGTACAGGAGGTTTCTATGGCAAAACATATGTACCTGATGTACGCCCGGACCTGGCAGCCACGGAACCAGCTCTGGATTGCCACAGCTGCATCATTCTCTTTCTTCCTGAATGCGTCAACCGCACTGAAACATGTTTTCAAATCATTTTGTTAGTAACTAATGCAATTCTGAGGCAAACCAACCTGTTAACCTTAATTTTTAATTCGTTCTAAGATGGTAATTACAACTCATGTCATTTTAAAGAAATTAAAACACTAAATTTAAAAAAGCACATTTTTAAAAAATGAGCCTTTTTAAAAATTAACCTTTCTCGAAGAAGCCATGAGCTTTCAACAGCTTTGCCTATTTTATTTTTATAATCATCTGTTATACTACTAATTAATTTGGTATCATTTTTTATTATGGAATGAAAAACAATGTGCTACTTTGTCAGTATTTTAAAAACATAATTATTTGAACTTATGGTTTAAATGCCACTACATATGTATCATGCAAAATAAAATGCTTGCATATTTAACCCAATCCTCAGTTAAATGTACTGCCTCTAATTCTAATGAATCTATCATAAAATACCTACTCTGGTAAGCGCCTGCTTATATTAAAGAATTCAGTGAGTGGGTCACAGGTTTATAAAAAGAAACTTAATTCTTAAGTATTACTAACTTACAATGAGAAAAAATTTGAGTTAAGCCATCTTCATGTATGTATCCTAATTAATGTCAATATTATGTTGTATTCCAATTGCCGTTTGATAAAGTAATAGCACAATGGGCTGCAGAATAATATATTTCTTTTAGAAGGTGGTTGGGATACAGTTAGTGCCTCATCTTTGCTGAATGAACACAGTTGGTAATACGGCAACAGCTCTTTCTTATTGACTGTGTTCCTGTAGATATATGCATATGACCATTCATGTTCAGGTGGATATATGTGTACGTGGCGTCTAGAAGTTGGCTTTGGTGTCTTCCTCAAACACTCTTCCTTTATTTTTTCCTCCCTTTTTTTTTAAAACATGGAATCAGTGGAACTGGTGCTCATTGATTCAGATAGGCTGGCCAATAGGAATGAGAGAAAGGGCCCCATTCCCAGATGAACAGCTACAAGCAGAAAATGGCTGCTGAGAGTGGAGAATCAATCTTCCACAGGGTTGAACCCATTAACTAATTATTCAGTACCTCAGCCCTAAAGACATATACATATGCACAAATCCTAAATAGATTGAGTGGTTTTAAGTATATATTTGTTCATTTATATGTATGTGTAACAAAAGCAGAGAAAAAAAGATCATGAATTTGAGAGCAAGTGGGGAAAGGCACAAGAGGGGATAGAGGGATGGGCAATGATGTAAATGTAGTACACATATATGAAATTAAAAGAAATAATGTAGAAAAGACATCCTATGCATTATCTTCAATTTAAATGGTAATAAAGAACCATGAGCTGATAGGCATACAAACTTCTTTCTCCATCTGTTAGTCTTCTCTCTGCTTTCAAATACAGTTAGAGTACACATCTGTGCATAGAAGCATATCTACAAAGACACATCAAGGGACCCAGAAGTCACATGTATCTAAGTACTAATGACAGGTAACACAGGACATAGATAAATCACAGCATTGTCACGAAGATCAAACAATTGGAAAGCAATTTCATTTGAGTTGGATAGATTAGAAAAAAGTAACTTTAGAATTTTTACGTTGCAAAGCTCCAATAGTAATAGCACACAACCATAAACCTGATAAGGTATTTCAAACACAGTAATCAAACATATACAATATTAAATACAAGAAATATTAACTTCGAAAGCAAATAAATTAAATAGATCAATAGAGAAATAATATATTCTTTTAGAACAGTTTTTCCTATTCTGAAGTAAAGTCTTTTACAAAAATAAATCACAGAATATGAAAAACATTGAACATATTCTACATCTGGTGTGTTTTCATGTGTTCATGTGTGCATTTATGTGTTTTCATTGAGGTGTGGTTACTTGAGTGAGCATGTGTATGTGATGAGGCCAATGGTCAACCTCAAGTGTTATCTCTCCTGTTGTCGCTCAGGTGCCAACCTGTTTTGGAACAGGGTTTCTCACTGTCTGAAACTCAATGTGTAGGCTTGGATGGTTGCCCAGAAAGCCCTAAGAACCCCTGTCTGCTGCTGCCTCACGCAGAGATTACTAGCTTCCCACCACACATGGCATCTTCTCATGGGAGCTGAGGACTACTGATCTCAGTTCTCCAAAGCTTGACTACCTCCCCAATACTTAGGATGTTGTTTAAAAGTGATCATCACAATTCACAGCCTCATGGGTGTGCTAGTGAATTTAAAAAGCTGAGACAGAAGGACTTTAAGGACAATCTGAGCTACACAGAGAGACTCTGTCTCAAAAAAAGGGATAGTTCAAGTGTGTGTGTGTGTGTGTGTGTGTGATCTCAATAAAGATTATTACATTTTGTAGAACATCAATTATCCTTCAACCCCCCAAAAGACGATTAAACAGTACCCTTTTATTATTTTTATCAAGTGTTTTATTCATCACAGAGTGAGCACTGTGTGGAATTGCTACCGGTAAAAAGTAGGAAACACAATCCCGGGATTCCGAGCTGGTGGCCTATGATGCTTGCTTTAACATGGCGAACAACAGTCACCTCCTAAGGTCACACAGTGAAGTTTAGTTGCCAACTCTGCTGTTCTTGATAGCTTCCCAAAAATCAAAGGATCTGGTTGTAGGGGTTCACCTCTAAAATTTTTAATCAACAGATGGAATCCACAAATTTTAGAAGATATAACTTACTTAAGGACAAATGATGGGAGATGCCATTCTGGATATATGTTTCTCATACTGGTTAATGAATAAGGCACTGTTGGCCAATAGGAAAGGAAGATAAGAGGGACTAGGAGACAAGGAGGAAAGAGGAAGGAATAAGGAGGAGTCAAGATGGAGAGACTGGAGAGAACAGAAGTCCGGGTCCACTCCCTGGTAAGATAAGACCATGTGGAGATTAATAGAAAAAGGTTAAAAATTAAGACAGAGCTAGCCGATAAGAAACTAGTACCTGGCCAACAGCATTATATCTAATACAGAGTCTTGGTGTATTAATTGGAGCTGGTGCGGCAACAGGACAAGACCAGTGGTGGGAGGGAAAACCTTACTCATTAAAGACAAACGAAGGGAGGGGACAGAAAGTTGGAGGAGACAGGAGAGAGGAAGGGAGACAGAAAAGAAAAGGGGGATAACAAGCTGTGTGGTGGTGCTCACCAGCAATCCCAACCCTCTGGAGGGTCATGAGTTCAAGGATCCTTAGTTACACAGCAAATCTGAAGCCAGCTTGGGCTATATGGCACCCTCTCTCAAAGAGATAAACAAAACCAGTATTGTGTTTTCAAGGTCATCATGGTCAAGTAAACTGAGAATGTAGATTCCAAGTACACAGAGTGGCTGGAAAGAGATCAGCCTTCTTATCAATGGGAAAAAGACAAAATTAATCATTACTTAAACAACTAAGCACACCAAGTCTTCACTGAAGAGGTCCCACTGTGTTTTAAGGAAGCAAACATGCTGTACATCTGAGGGCAAGCCCTTACACTTGAGCTGATACTGATGTGCCATCCAAACCCTGCTTAACGAAAACGCTGTGATGAGAGTGTAGTTCCTGCATCCCCAGCAGGTTCGCCTTGGCCACTGCATCTGCTAGGACCACACCATCCAAGATCACGTAACTGGAAGATCCCTGAAGGTGTTTCTGAAGAAATCCAAGACAGAGAAGGCTTTGAAGAAATTCCAAAAGCCTCAACATCTGCCCCAGGGAAGGCGGGGACAGTGCAATGGAACATGATTAGCCCACACCAGCTGTTTTTTTTTTCACTCCACCAAAGCCACGTGATTAGAGCTGTATTTTCATACTAGAGTACTGCACTAAACACTGAGACAAAAAGAGCCACCTAATGAAAGACAGACTGGTACAGAAACAACACAGAATGCAATTTTATTTTTGTAGAAAATTAAGTTATCAATACATCTGAAATGGATAAAGCATAATAATAGAAAATATACAGCATAAAATTTTGTTCTCATATTTATAAGAAACTATTTAACAGAACACATAGGATACTGCACATAAAGAGATGTAGTTCTTTCCCCCAAATTCTTCCTCCCTGTGGGTTATTGGGCATGGAGGCCAAAGACCGAGACCGGGGCCTGGTGGCTGAAGACTAATGCTCTGAGATCACCACAGAGAAGGCCCCACTGACTGTTCAGGTAGCAGATAAGTTTGTCATTCTTAATCAGTGTGGGAAGCCGTGGTCTACTTTTTGTGCTTACTCCAGTAAGACTTATGCTTCTCAGATTTCTTTAATGAGTGCTGATGACCAGTCTCATAATCCTGTGGCTACAGGTCCTCTCCTCTGATCTCTCTCGAACTGCTTGATCACTCACTCCTTCCTCATTACACCTAGCTGTTCAACCCTATTACTAGGCATATATATATATATATATATATATATATATATATATATATATATATATGAGAGAGAGAGAGAGAGAGAGAGAGAGAGAGAGAGATAGTTCTTGTTCTTGGCAGAACCCAGAATTTGGGGAATGAAACCTGAAAAGAGAGTTTTATTAACCTCTGATTCATTATGTTATTATATAATAGCCACACAATGATCCTTTTGCAATTAAAAAGTGGGAAAATGAAAGAATTCAATATAATCTCTTACAAACTCTCAATTTTTAAGTTTAAGAGAATTATTGATCAAGTTTCTTAATCTCAAATTAGGGTTTTCCTTTTGAATTTCAGTCATAACACCATAAGCACATTTCATAGCATACCAACGAGAATCTAGCAGGAAGAGCAGTGAATAGTGTCAAAGCCAGATGAAAGAATGCCAAGATCGAACACCAGGATCCTGGAGACCCAGCATTCAGCAGATTTGGGATAGGAGATCTTAACTGCTTCACTCCAGGATTTCAAAGTCTACCTGAATAACACAGCAATACCCTAATTCAAAACAATTGAAGATTTTTAAAATGAATTTTTACTTCAAGTGTCTATTCCTGAATATAACGTACACTATGTGGGTACAGGAACCCACGAAAGCCACCTGGAACTTGAGTACAGGTA